GGTATACGGCTAAATTCCTCCATTTTTTAAGGTAGTACAGCCGACCACTGCCATCAAACTACTCCTCATGGGGTTTGGAACAAAGCCCAAACAACTATAGGGGCGGCGGAGCATCGGAGGTGACGAATTGAAGCCACCAATTTCTAGGGTTTTCAATGAGCTTGAGTGAAATTGGGACCTTTCCTTGCCAAATTGGACTTGGTCACATATATGAAACTTGCTTTACTCATTGAGATATACAATTATGTAAAATTTTATAATTTTTGGAGTTAGTTGAATTTTCAGGTGAGTCGAGACGGCCGACTGCCGTGTGCGGCAACGTGTGGGCTGAGGCACCCCTTAACCACCCTAAGCTAAATTTTGATGCCCTGATTCCATATTTGACATCCAATTAATGAAATTCCATTGTTTGAGTATAATTTCATTAAGGTTCGACACTTGAATATTATAGGGCCCATTTGTGAACTTGCATATTTGCGCCTAACCCATGGCACGAATCACCTTTCTTTCAGGTGGCACTACTTCATTTTCATGGCAGTCAATTCAAAAGTATATGATGGGCACAGAAACATGCTATCGAATTATTCATGCAGGTTTCTTATGTTTTTTTTTTAATATTTACCTCACCGTGATGATATGGAAAACACGGCTGGTTGATTAATACAAGAGTGCTTAATGTTTATGGGAAATGGGAAATGGGAAAGGGGGAACATCAGGAGAATTGTTTATGACTGATACAAGAGTGCTTATTGTTGGATCTGGATTCGCTTGGTAAGTCTCCACAAACTCACAGCCTTACAAAATTATATTTCATTTGCAATTTTTTTGAATTGCATTAACAGTGGGTATCATGCAGGCTCTTCATTATGAATGTAGAAGTTGCTCTAAACTCAACCATTCCAGAGTTGGTTTTTTTTTTGTTTTTTATGAGAAACAATAGAGTGGTATTTCATTGATTTTCACAAACATTACAGAGGTGGCCAATCGAGTACAAAAACTCTAATGATCAAGAATTGAGCTGGAGTAAATTTGCACGATGAAACAAACAACAGTAAACCCCATTTACAACTACCACAAGTATTAGCCTACCCTACAAAATGTCATCAATACAAATCTGTCACAAAAACCCAATAGATGCAACATACCTATATTGGCGACCATATAGGTCATCGTACAAATGCAAGGCCACATAAAGTCATCGCAATAGGCGAGACCACAAAAGTCATCGTTGAAAGACGATACCACAAACTCATCGCTTAAATCGAAGACAACATCCAACTACAGCAAACACGCAACCACAACATTGATAGGGCTAGGCAACAAAATTAAACACTACTTTGATAAAGGGACCACTTATCAGCTCATTTTAGTGAGCAGGACACGGACCAAGACCACAATTTCACTGCACTAGTGAGCTCTGCTGCATCTATGAGTAGATCAGGTTGCACAAGGGTGAAGTTAACTCATATGGATCCAGCGACGCCAACATATTGAACACCCAAGATGGCAGGTTCACCGGATCTGAGCATGTAAGAATGTGCAACCACCAAATCAGTTGAGGAAAACATCATTACCATGGAAATAAGCTGATGGAAGTGAAACCAACCACCAACAACCATGAAACCATTCTTGACCACATATCTAGCCCTAAATTATGAAAGGACCTTGAAATGGGCAAGGCTCGGATATGGGAGAGGCACAAAGCCATGGACGAGCTGCTCACAAAATGGTGGGAAAAAACTACAGAGGAAGGAGATGAGGCCCAATAGAACTAAGAGAGGGTAAGAGGGGACGCGGAAGAGAGGGAAGGGAAGGGAATAACAGACATGGATGTGTTGGTTGAGGGTTAAAAAGGGAGAGAGATGCTAGGAAGGAGGTGGGGAGTGGCTGCCGCCAATCATCAGCACGATCTCATTAAAAGGAATTGGGTGACAGCCTGCATCATCCCTATTTGTTGGCTAAAATGGGAATCCCCTCCTTAAAAGCATGTATTACTATATATCTTTTAAGGTCTTAATGGTCATTTTACAAATAAACAAACTTGTAATTAAAGCTTTCATTAAAAAATGGATAGGAAGATAAGGCAGTGTTGTGAAAACAACACTAATTTTTGGGAAGAGATCCCTTCGAATCTCTCCCACCAAGTCATAGGGATTCACAGATCCGGACCCTTAAAATTTGATTCAACGACTACAATTATTATAACTTTTAGAGGAGCATCTTGTTTTAGCCGTTAGATCAAATTTCAAGAGCCCGGATCTACGGATCCTTAGGATTTGGTGGAAGAGATCCGGAGGGGATCTCTTCTCCTAATTTTTTTACTTGAAAAGACACATGGCGAACTGTGAATGGATGAGATACACCACATCAGCATTGTAGAATTTGAAACAGGTCACCGCCTGACCACTAGGAGGGCAGTTTGGTCATTTGAAATCCAAAAACCCAAGAGAGAGAAAGAGATAAGCTCTCAACAGCACTCGGCAGAAAGAGAAAGAGAGAGGAGAGAGAATCAGAATGGTGACAGAACAAGAGATATCGCAAGAGTTACAAGCCCTAATCCACGACTCCACTTCCAACCCAAACACCACCACCCCGACCTTCAACACCCTAAATGACGTCGTCCGGCAGCTCGAGTCCAGGCTCGGCCTCGACCTCTCCCACAAGACCGACTTCATTCGTGCCCAGATCCACTACCTCTTCCGATCCCACCCACCCACTCCCCAACCTCAACCCCAGCCCCAACCCCAACAAATTCCTCAGCCTCAGCACGCCAAAGACCATTTTGCCCTCCACCAACCCCCTAATTACCACCATCCCGCCCCCTCCGCCTTCCAGACCTTCTCCTCCCAGCCCCCGCCTCCACTCCTGAAGCCAGAGCCCGGCACCAACGCTCCTGCGCCCGTTTCAGGCTCTAACACGCCCAAGGACAGGTTCGTTTCCTTTCTTTTATTTTTGAATAATTTCTGTTTGGTTTCTGAGAAAATTGAGGGATGGGAATAATGCAATATGGCTTGTCATGTTGTATTGTGTTTGGTTAATTCTACTATGTCTCAGCTTGCTTACCGCGAAATTGGTATTCCCCTGGCCAATTTGTGTGTTCGGGGAAATTAGGGTTTAAGGAAATTGGTATTCACATTTAGTTTCCCAACTTTCCTTCATATTTTTGAGCCGTTGTTTGGCTTTCAATAAAATTTGAGCAACAGCGAGAAAATGGATAGTATGCTTTGCAGAAGTCAAAATTTTCCGTTATTTGGGGAATGAAATTTGACCAATGGCAAGAAAATGGATAGTATGCTTTGTAGAAGTTAGAGAATTTCCCTAGCTTTATGTTATTTGGGGAATGGGAAATCGAGAAACTAAAATTTGAGAAGTGCGAAGAGAAAAAGAAGTTCAACTGCTCTCTCGCGCGCTATCCCTTAGCATTCGGGGTATATAGGCGTACTGTAGAATGCTGTTTCCAATTGTATCGGTGTTGGCGGGGTATATGTAAGGTGTATTTGTTTGCAGAAGCTATTTGGAATGTCATGCATCAAGTTTTATTTATTTAATTCTTGGTTTGCAAGCAATTAATAGGGAAAACTGCTTACATGATGTAGTTGTTCTAGTAAGTTGAGTGCGTAATGGTAGTTTGATGTTTGGGCTTATATTTATGTGCGTTTATCATTTATAAGCAGTGCTAAACCTAAAGCTAAGAGAAAAGGTGGCCCGGGAGGTCTAAACAAACTTTGTGGTGTTTCGCCTGAGCTTCAGGCCATTGTTGGCCACCCAACTCTCCCAAGGACTGAGGTTTGTGCTCATCCATTTGTGCTATTCGTAAAAGTTGATTTATTATCTGCCGGGATGGTTTTTATTTTATTTTGTTTTATATTTAATGTTGAGTTCAGATTGTTAAACAACTGTGGGCTTACATAAGGAAGAACAATCTCCAAGATCCCGGTAACAAGAGGAAAATTATTTGCAATGATGAGCTGCGAGTGGTTTTTGAGACAGACTGTACTGACATGTTTAAGATGAACAAGTTGCTTGCTAAACATATTATTACACTCGAACCATCAAGTATGTATTTGGTGTAACAGTTCCCTCTATCTGGGTGTATGGGGCCACGATATTCCTGTGTGTTTTGTGGTATGGGTATAAAATATAATACATGCCTAAGGAGATGTTTTGGTGCTCTCAGAACCAGCAGTTCCCAAGAAGCCCAAGGTGCCTAAGAATGCCGTGGAGTCTGCAACGAAAAGTACAGAACCGAGTCCTTCCCTGATAATATCTGAAGCACTTGCAAATTTTTTTGGTGCTGGTGTAAGGGAGATGATCCAATCAGACGTTATAATGCGTATCTGGGAGTACATAAAGGCCCACCATCTGGAGGTAGGTTGAATCCGACTCCACATTCTCAAAATAAATAAAGAAATAAATAGAAAATTATAAATTTATTTTGATTCAGCGACTCTTAAATTGAAGTTTTCTAGCACAAATGTAAATCGAACTTCAGAAACCAATTATACTAACGTTTAAATACATCTCCAGGATCCTCAAAATCAAATGGCTATACATTGTGATGCAAAGCTTCAAGAAATCTTTGGTTGTGAAACCATCAATGCATTGGAAATACCAGATATTTTGGAACGTCATCACATATTCAGGAGATGATAATAGGTTTGTAGGCTTTGTTTTCATAATCCGTTTTTGTTTTCTTGTTTACAAGTAGGTTCGTGGATATTAAATTTATCACTCTGCTGTTTAGTTGTAATGTTCCTTCTTTATCTCTTAATTGTACTAACCGTTGTAGTTCTCGTTAGATTCATTTTGACCGTTCATCTACATCATTGCTTCCATTCTTCTTTTCTTTTAGTTAGGTATTAAATCTCCGTCCATAAGTTTTGATGGAATGTTGGTCATTTATTGCAGTTGCAGAGCACAGGTGCAATAACTTTGTGCGCTAAACCTTCATGAGAAATTGATGTATTTCCTTGTAATTCGAACGGTTATGTAGCATATTTTTACTTGAGGTCATGTTTGTAGGTAGAGTGATGGTATGAAAATGTACAAAGGTTCATGGCAGGTCTTATTTTGCCGATGGCGCTATGGTTTGTCTGACTAGGCCTGTTAGGTTTAGAATGAGCAGCTTCTGGAGTTTCTAACGCCTGTAAAATAGCACACTAGAAAAAACAGAACCAAATGTAAGCACATGTTCTTTAACTCATTTCAGTTAATGAATGTATTTATTTAGTCGATATCGGAGTTTACCTTTACTGTTTTACCCATTTATTTAGTTGAATTTTATCTTCGTATCTAGCTTAGATAAATTTAGTGTAATATCTTATCGTTCGTTTAAAATATTATTTGAAAGTTCCAATTGTTTATTAATGGTTGGGCGTCCCGTGACTTGGTTCCTACCAACTTGTTCACATGACAAGCCCAGAATTTGACACAAAATTATACACAATCCTCATCTCTCCACTATAAATCTACTCCCAAATACAAGAACAAAATGTGCTCCTTTTGAGTGATAGGAAGAGATCCAATGGCAAGGACAAACAGCGTAGCGTCGTGGCTACCTGTGATTTTGTTGATCGCACTTGGTGGAGCCACGGCAGTCTCCGTATGCAACATTTAATCCGCCCAACTGAGGAGTGCCACCCGGCCGTGATCGCCAAATCACCAAAACCACCAACCAAGAAATGTTGCAGTGTTGTCCGCCAAGCCAACTCACCCTGCCTCTGCAACATCACCCTGTGTTATCCCTGTTTGGTTATTACCTCAATATACACATAATAATATGAACACAGTCCATGAATTTATTCCGCAGCCTCGATGATTCATTCCGCCCTGTAACAAAAGTAACATCGAATCCCTCCCCGTAATGAAAGTAAAATCGAACCCCTCGAATTCACATTTTACGGTGTTAGTAATCATCGTAGCATTGACGGGATCCAATGTGACACCAGAATATGTGAACTTCACAAGTGAAAAGCAGTCCAAGTGTCGCACAATGACAGACACTACCATATGCATCAATATCAAGTTTAAATCCTTTCCTAATAGATGAATAAAAAGATTACTAGCATACATGCTAACCTGGTTCTTGAATGAAATTAACGCTGATATCTCATCCTGTCTGTTTGCACCTAAAATGTACCCAATTTTACTCATTTGGGCTATTTGGGCTAAATATGGTATTTGGAGAATCATTGTGCAAGAAGGCTAACTTGGAAAGATATTTGATTGCAAGTGAGATAGTTTAACATTATAATATTGCTTCTCCCTTTTGTTTTGGTGGTGGAGATGTACCAAGAGCTTTCTTTAATCAAAACAATTGTATGCTTTCAAGTGGATTGGAAGGCACACGGACATTTGGATATCTTATGAAAGAAGCCAACTTGCTTCTTTTAATTATTAGTTTATTGCAAGTGGTGGCGACATGTGGTGAAAACAAGTGGTGGAAATACAAGTTGCTCTTTTTAATATCATTTCACATGCAAGTTATCAGAGAAGTTTCTTTCGAGCAAACTCAATGTTCTCAGCAAAAGGCTCTCTTAGATCTCTATATAAAGAAGTAGAGGCACAAGGATTATGGACACTCAACCAATCAAACAAACAAACATACAAACTCTGCTCTCAAGCCAGATTTGCATCCAAAAGTTATAATCAGCCCAGATTCAGTCTTTTTTAGAAATAGATTCCTTAGAAAAGCTATCTTTTGTCTAGTTTATTAGCTATGCTACTCACTCGGTGGTATCGATCTCATTTCTAGTTTATGTACAACTCATTTCTAGTCATTTAGTTCACAATCAATCTACAATATCAGTCATTTACTTTCCTCTGTCATTTACATTTCCAGCTACCTTGTCATTTACATGCTACATTTCTCCACATAAGTAAGGGCATATGCTGCCACAAGTCCAAACTGAAAATAAAAGACGAAACCAATTTGAGATCGCAGATAAGTGAGCTTAGTATTCTGAATAATACTTAAGCGATATTATATCACCATTGTCGGTCCAACGGTAAACTTACTGCAATTCCGAGAGCAGTGCTTGTAAAGAATAAGTATAGGAAATCTCCAATGACACGAAGTCCAGTCGCGCCCTTAAGCTTACTAACGTCAATCTTTTGAACTGCATTGAACAGAACAACTGATGTTGCATCATTCACCGCTCCTTCCCCAAAGACCAGGCTGTACAGCAAAGGAGTAACATCTTGATGAAGAATCTACATAAAGTGGATATAATATCTCAGAACATCCAATTAGAGGAGCGGCTTGCCCAAATTAAATGAAAAAGAAAATCCAAAACATGACAAACCTGCAGTGTACACACTGTATTAGTTGACGAAAAAATTGTTCCCACAGCTATTTCAAAACAAAAGATTGATGTAAACCAAAAGTTATCAACACGATTATACTGTTACATAGCATAAAGGTGGCAGTTCGTTTGATACAAATAGCCAATGGTTTCATCGAAAAGGTTCTCGGTTCTAACCGAGATAGGCTCGTACATTCAGGCCACCAAATCCCAACTTCGGGAACAGCCACCAGGTGCCTAAGCCAAAAAAGTGACATGCAGACATTTTCAGTTCTACAGAAATCTGTAACAGCTAGCACAATGCAAAATCAAACGATGGAAAAGAAATAAGGAATCGAAATAAAACTAGTATAAAATACGTAAAGAACAACAGATTAAAGTGTTACCAACTGTTATGATGAATACTGAAATGAAAACACATCATGATGGTTAAGAAGTTCTTTTCTTCTTGACCTGAAATCTGCGTTGGTCGTAAAATTAACTAGGTAAGTGAATTCGTCTCCTGAGTTTCTACGAATCCGGCAAGCAAATTAATTAAAACAGGATTATTATAATCGATACGGAAGCTGAATTACCCAGCATTGAATATTATAGGTGGGAGGAGATATATAAAGAACAACTCTTCATTAAATCGCAGGATGTGAGAACTCTTTCCTTTGCTCACAAGCAAGATTATTGTTCCAGTTACGCATCCCTGTTTGAAAAAAATAAGGGAAAAAAGAAACACTTTAGACAATGGAAATGATTAGGCAGGCACCGAACTTATCAATCTTCCAAATGCAAATTAAATATCCCCAATATAATTTTGTCCTTTTTTTTTGGGTAGTAAAAGGACAAAATTACCCTTGAGGCACACCGAAATTTATACGTGCGAGCAATGGACAATCATGCCTCAATCAAGTCAAAAGTGCCCAAATAGGTATTTATTTACAACCTATTTCATCCATCCTTATCATATCTTCTCCATAAGGTAACCCCCAAATCCTTCCTCTTTTATTATAATAATTAGCTAATTAACCACAAATTAAGAACCTAACCCATAAAACCATCCAGGTGGCGGTCCATCTCCTCCCAAGGTGGCCGGCCACATCCCTATATAAGCCCTCTCATTCTCTCCAAAACTCAATTCCAACTCTCTTGCTAAACTCTCTAAATTCTCTAAACACTTTTCCTTCAATATTCTAACTTTGGCATTAGAGGTTCTTCAGCCAAAGTCCCCCCCAACCCAATTCATCATGGGTGTGTGAGGCTCTTGGCCTTAACCTAAGGTGTTATTTGTTTTGTAGGTAGCAATTTTGTCCAAAAGTAAGGAAGAAGAAATTTGCATCTGCAAATTGGTGCTTTCATTGAGGGTTGAGTCCCACACTCGTAGAAAACTCTCGCATCCAAGGTTTTCTATTTTCTTGTCCATTTGTAGATTTTTCATACGTTCTTATTTTTAGAATTGTTTTATTTGCAAAAGTAATTTGGTAAAACGTAAAAGAAAAGTACAATGGCAAGAAATTTGGAAACTTTAACGAATGAAAATTCCAATGTTCAAAAGATGGGACAACGGCAATCCACGAGGCTAAACATGACAATAAGTGGAGCGGCACTACCACCACAAGGCTCCACCATGGCAACCACCGCGGTGGCCACCATGGTAGCCATCCACGGTGAGGTCTATGGCGCCACCACCACAGCCCAAGCTGTGTCATCCAAGCTTGTGGTAGCCCACACGGGCCCAAGCCCAAGGCGAGACGGCTCCAGCCACTTAAACACGACGCGAACCTAACGCATTGCCAAGCCAAGCCCTAGCCTCGCACCCACGTGCACCACACGTTGAGCAGCCTACTCTCACGGCCCAGCCTGCTCATGTGGCCTTCTAAGTAGCCCAAATCGGTCTAAGATTAGTTTAACTGTCCTGGCTCCAAATTTCCTAACCGATGATCTACGGATTTGACATTTCCTAACTTAAATCTCGATCTCAGAGTCGACCACACTTCCGCTGCTCAAGGAGATACATTCATTCCAAGCTCTTCCAACCCAAATTGAGAACAACACTTGTCTTGACAAGTCATAGAGTTGACGACCACCTTCACACAGCAGACGACCTTGGTGAACTAGCTCTTGTAACGCATCGAGATGCAACGTGCCCCAGACGAGGTGTCCCAAAGTAAGACAATGGCAGATGAAGAACCTCTCCAGCAGTGTTCCAGAAAATAGCCACTCAACCAGCCACGAATCGAGCGTTCGAGTAATTTACACTCTAGATTGGGCCCTCGAGATAGCGTATACTCCTGTCTTAGCATGCGGAGGAACGTGCACTCTCGACTAGGCCCACGGACGAGCATATATTCACGGTTGGGATCACACTCTGATATTCAACATCAGCAACCTTCCAGGCGAAGCCCGCAAGGGGCATCCTCCACCTAACATCGGAGTAGGCAGCATGACGGATGAAGAGAAGCAGTCACTCAATCCAGCTCAAGTTCAATCGGCAGCTTATGAGAAATTTGCTCGTCTGCGAAGAATGTACCACATGCACAGCAGCCACGGCATAGACAAGCCGAATACATGGAAAAACAGCCTAGACCAGCAGGTCATGACTAGGGCAACGAAGAGCTCCTCTACCCCCAACAAGGACAAATTCAGGAAAAATGTATAGAGACTCTTGACCAAGCGATTGCGTGATTTCCAACGCAACGAGGTCACCAACGAGGCACTACGACTGGACGTGACTAACATAAGAAGGTTACCCTTCACAGACGAGATCGAACAAGCAAAGCAGCATTCCAAAAAGGACTTCTAGCAGACCACCTGCTGTTCAGAAAATTAATCATCTAACTCTGGCAGACTCTTTCACTTTGACAGACAAGCATGCACTTGGGGACAAGGCTCGCCGATCAAGATGCAAGGACTTGAAAAAGAACCTTACATCACCTCCTTACTATCCAAACCAGAAGTAGCGGAAAACCTATTCGTATGTTTGACGGTATCTGAAGCAGCTATAAGCTCTACCATCATACTAGACGACTTGAGGCCTGACTACTTGTATTCCACAGTTTCAAAGCTCAACTTGATGCTACCAGAAATTTAAAAGCTAACTTTGGCGATAGTTGTTGCAACTCGGAAGCTCAAGTTTTACCTTCAGACGCATGTAGTCATCCTCATGATGCATTATTCCGCCCAATCTAAATGAAAGACGATAAAGGTGTAGACACTAGCAGATGCAAAGTTTTCTGGCGAACGTAACAACTCGGCCCAAAAGGCGCGCCAAGGGCAGACGAACACTAGAAGGACACACTCGGAAGCAAGTTTTGTCCTAGTCGGCCCAAAATATTCTACATAGGAGTAACATGTACCAGCAGTTGAACACCACTTCTTGCTACGTGTCACACTGCCCCAGCCGATCCTTGCTCTATAATTCAACTCTAGAGTGGTCCAATACCAGCAGTTGAGCATCTCCTGCTGTGTGTAACGTGGCCCCAACTCCACGACTCTCTACCACGTCTTCACAACGCAACAGGGTGACCCAACGATGGCTTCACGGCTTCCTACTGCACCTTCACGCCTAACCTAGGCGACGCAATAGAGCAGCCTAACGACACCTCAGAGGTAGCCTAGCACGCCCACTACTACAAAATGGACTTATTGTGTCACTAGGTGATGTCGCTTTAATATAATATAGTGGCGGACAAGACATTTGCGACATTTACTGAACATGACGTCGGGTTTACTGTCACTTGTAAGCGTAATAAACTGTCTATGTCACTTTTAACCGGCGTAAACATTTAATGTCGTTTATAACCAACATACATTTTAATAATTTTTAAATAATTGTGTCGCTTTAAAAAAAATAGTGTCGCTTTTAAGCGACATAAAGTACTGGTGTCGCTTCTATCCGACACTAATTATTGTTTTTAAATATCTTAAAGCTTGCATCGGTTCTAAGCGACATAGATTTTATTTTTTTAATATTTTGAAACCTGGTGTCGGTTGTAAGCGACAGATTGATGGTCTTTATATGCTATCCCCCGTGTTTTCTTCTTCCTCTCTTGCATCTTTCTTAAGGATGAGTTTATGAGGTGGCACGCAACTAGGCCTGGCAAACGGGTCGTGTCTATCATTTTCATGTAACACCTGTTATCTTAACGGGTCTTGTCATGTCTCACCCATTATCTTAACGGGTCCTTAACAGATGACCCGTTATGAACTGTTAAGAAAAATATTTTTTTTTCTTAAATTTGCACATACCACACATTGCCACATAAATATTACTTCAAAACATTAAAACACATTTGTCGTTTAAGTACTACATCTACACTCGAAAATAAGAGCTTAATAAACAAACATCTATACACTACTACTCTATTACAAAATGTTAAATGTGCAAGGATATGAAAAATGAAAGAGTTTTTGTTTTCAAGGTTGTGAAGCGTTTCTCAAAAGTTTAAACCTTGCCAATGGAACTTAAAGTTTGCATGTTATTCATTTTACAAAATCCTCAAATTTCATTAATCATCATGACAAAAGATTTTGTGGTATCCACTTCTGTAAATATTTTAAATTGATGACCAAATTAGTTCATTGTATTCGGATCAAGGAGTGTAGCTGTAAAAAATCATCAAAATTGGAGTTAAATTAACCGTTAAATCGTGATTTTTCGTTTATAACCGTCGAAAAGTTTTGTCTTGTTACTTGATCTCTAAATGTTTGTTTTTTGCAATTTTTGGCGTATGCAATCTCGAAGCATATATAAACAAGTTTGACGGTTTGATCGTTGAAATTAGTTCCGTAGGATGCGTATCCTATCAAAACGATAAATTCACTAACACTTAGAGTTTATTTATTCTTTCATTAAGTATAACATAAGATTTTGTGGTATCCACTAGTGTAAATATTTTAAATTGAAGATCGAATTCATTCATTGTATTTCTATAGGGTCAAGGAGTGTAGTTGTAAAAAATCATCAAAATCGGAGTTAAAATAACCGTTAAATTGTAATTTTTCGTTTATAACCATTGAAAAGTTTTGTCCCATTACTTGATCTTTGAATTTTTTTTTTTTGTGATTTTTGGCGTATGCGATCTCGAAGCATATATAAACAAGTTTGACGGTTGGATCATTGAAATTAGTTTCGTAGAATGTGTATCCCATCAAAACGATAGATTCACTAACAGTTATAGTTGATTTATACTTTCATTAAATATAATATAAGATTTTGTGTTATCCACTAGTGTAAATATTTTAAATTGAAGATCGAATTCATATAGGGTCAAGGAGTGTAGTTATAAAAAAATCATCAAAATTGAAGTTAAAATCACCGTTAAATCGTAATTTTTCGTTTATAACCGTTGAAAAGTTTTGTCCCGTTACTTGATCTCTGAATGTTTGTTTTTTGCGATTTTTGACATATGCGATCTCAAAGCATATATAAACAATTTGACGGTTAGATCGTTGAAATTAGTTTTGTAGAATTCGTATCCCATCAAAACGATAGATTCACTATCACTTAGAGTTTATTTATACTTTCATTAAGTATAACATAAGATTTTGTGGTATCCACTAGTGTAAATATTTTAAATTGAAGATCGAATTCATTCATTGTATTCATATAGGGTCAAGGAGTGTAGTTGTAAAAAATCATCAAAATCGGAGTTAATGAAATTTTCACTAACACTTGATAATGAAAATTTTCATACAAGGGTTGGC